TATCCAGACGTTCTGCTATTCGATTACTGCACTATATGGATGTTCTAATAATAAAATGTTGCACAATCTGAATTTTCTGTTACTCAACAGTCAGCTATCCAAACGTTTCACGGTTTATCACTAGGATTGCCGCATCGGTAGAAAAATAACTAGATTCGGATATTTTATCAAAATCGTATCGTTGTTACTGATAAATTAATGTTAAGCTTTATTCAGATAAGAATACAGTTATATATCTTTACGATACCACTTCAATTATTATCATCTGTGTATAGTGTATCAAGCTACAGATTACCGAACGGTAGTTCTAGTGACAAATTGACTAAGGTTAGGGAATTAGTAAAAAATTACTAATCTGGAATATTTCTCGATACTCTTACGTTTTACTAATGAAATTTTGCACGTCGCTATTATCCAAACATTCTGAATAATCTGCAGTTCGATTAGTATGCTTCCTTAATAAAAAATATAATGGAATTCCTTTAGTTGAATTTCCGCGGATTTTAAAAAATACCTGTTAAATAGTGCCATGCGAATAATAGTCACCAGACATAGTAACAAAATTTACTTTAACAAAAATAAATGAAGTAAAGCTTCTCATTTATGCACATGGTTATCTTTAAACCTTTCGCGACGGCAGAACTGGGTATCAATGTGCTACTGGCGAGCTTTTCGAAGCTCTTCACTCGTCATGCTTAATTATGCTTAATAAGAAGGACTCATAACATCTTTAAAATATAATATATAAATAATATTCTTTATGTTATGCTTTGAGGCAGGGTTGTAACTAATTACCATAAGCAGTAATTATGGATGTAATACTAACCGGAACGAACAACTCTGAAATCAGATACCAATTGTCGATCAACTGGTAAAACTTTGGCTTTCGAAGACAGGAGTTGCTCGTCTCTGAACGGGGTGCAAGATCCGATATTTCGGGGGTGTGTATTGAAATGAAAGAGGCATACAGATGTCTTTATTTCCTCCAAGAAAGTTTCTCTCTGCCAAGTGCATCTTTAAAAGGGGTGAAACCCGGCGATCATTATAATGCAGTTTCAAGGTGGTCGAGCTACAAATTGATCCTCATTCACCCTTCTGTGTTCGTGTGTGCGAACGCGTGCGCCCGCGCGCGAGGCAAAGTTACCCTGAAATAACTCTTGCAGATTATGCGAGGTGAAAGAAGATAAAACGCGTGTAAAGAGGCTAGTGAAAGTGTGGACTAATTTATCGTATAAACTACTCTTGGCCTTTGCAACGTTAATCTTCGTCGACGAAATTCAATCGATTTTTATTCCTTCCTTTTCGGCCATTTTTATTCAATTTTCCAAAATTTTCGACTCATCTACGAGGCAAAGATCCACAAAACTTAGCATTTCTCCTAAGTCATCGGGATTATTTCTTGATAGCTCCTTCTCTGAGAATATGGAAGACAACTTTCTAAGAAAATTGCACTAAGTCTCTACGTTATTATATCTACTAATTAAAAAGGGGAATACGAAAAATAGAAAAATGATTAAAATGATTAAAATTAATTATTATATCTACTAACTAGAAAAGAGAATACGAAAAATAAAAAAATTTTTTAAATTAATAAGATTCTACTGGTAAGATTCTAAAGTATTTCTCTATTTTTTTTTCCTTAAAAGAGTATTTATTAGAAGAGTACACGAAATACGACGAAAAGATAAATTGACCTAAGAAATTAGTGATTCTTCCAGAGTTTAGTTTGGCTTGCCGTACACTGATGTAATTGTAAGGTATTTCGCAATTTTTTCTTGTAGAATAACAGTGCAGTTTCTTCTTGGAAAAGAATTAATTAAGAAATTAGGCGGTAAGATAATCGATTAATTTTGAGAAATTAGTAATTCTTCCAGGGTATAGTTTGGTCAGACATCGGGACGATCACGATGATGCGAACGTGAACGACGAGTGTCGCTGTTATGTTCGATTTGGACGACGATCAAGGTGACGAGCAAAGGGCAGAAGAACGAATGTGACGTTCGATCTGCGTGTCTGTAATTCACCGATCTACATTTATATACAAGGTGTTTCGCAGCGAAGAAGTTGTCAAAGAGCAATAAGGGACAAAATATCGCGATTTCTCGTTTCCCAATTTTTAATTACTCTATTTTCTAATTATCTACATAAACAAGAGTATTTACCTCTTATTTTTATCAAGAAATATTCTTTTCGTTGAATTCTACTGGGAGGAAATTCAATTTCCATGTAGAAAGAGTTTAATAAATTTCACTGGAGAATTTAAGTAGAATCTAGGGAATTTTTTGGAATTATGATAAAATGGACAGTCGAAGCTCGCTTCTCGAATTTTTCCATGTATCGAACTATAGTGGAATTTCTATAATAAAGAAGATTGAGAAGCGAACAATTTTTAGGTTATTCTGAGCATGAATTTATAATTTAACCTATATGAGAATATATTAACATATTAACAAGTACAGTTATTACATATCATAAAAATATATTAAAGAATATATTACCCGCAGAGAATTTCACGTACTGGATGCCACAATTTAGGTTATGTATTTGTTCTAATCTAATTCCTCTGAGATCTCAAAAATAATCCACATTTCTTAATGAAATATATATCACATAACTCAAAATATTTAAAAAATATTAACTTATAATGTTTTCGACAACGCACCCTGTAAACAAAATGGCTGCCGTGGCGAGTCGAATCTTTCCCGAAATTTTCCGTGGTTAACATCGCGGGAGAAGAATTCGGTTCCTTAATATCGCGAAAAGAAGAAGGAAGAAAGTATTCTTCGAATCGAGCAGCGTTGTTTGAAAGTGTTTATTTAAATTGTTTGGAAAATGTGCGCAAAAACACGTAGACTGGCGTCCGGCAGACGCCACGAGCCTTTGCCAAGGGTTAATGAACAAGATATGTTACCCGATGATTTCAAAATGCTATATTACGACCGCGACCAGATACGATTGTCAAAATTGTGCTGGCAAGGTTACAGCTGAAGACTATGCGAGTGACATGCGTCTACGTGACACATTAACTTTCAACATGGCCGACTAGCAACAAGCTCTCCTATGATTTATCTTGCCCAAAAGTGATTCTAATATCTCTATTTCTATTTAATTTAAACATCCAAATTGTGACAACGCGTATTAACAAATATTAATAAATATTAATAAATGCTATCTTCACTTCAGTTTACTATGTAATGGTTGGAGAATATTTGAAAATTTATATTCACGACGAATAGTTTATAGATATTTTGGTTGTTTCATATTTATGTAAATAATAAGATAGGGGAAGTTGCGTTTAAATGAAACTAGCATATTCTGAAGATTTCGTTGAACTGAATAAGGAGCTGATGGGAAAAGGAGATGAGAGAGATTGAGGTAAGGAGTATTTTCTTGGTATGAAAAGACTAGATCAGCACTCAGGCTCTTAGAGCGGATGAAGGAATGTGATATTATATTAAACGAGAAGGTGTGTAATCGATTGTGTCACGTGACAGGATGACAATGTGGAAGAATAAGGAGTAGTATTTCAACCTTACGCAAACATTTTCTAGAAATATTCGTCGAAATCTTTTTAACTATACGTTCTCGAAATGTACGAATAACTCTGGAAATTGCAATTTGTATCCCTTTGTCAGAAATTTTACAGCATAAATAGCAAGGACGATGCAATGCGAGGAACACGAGTGATTCGCGTTGAAGTTTCATTTGCGGCATCAGCAACCCGGGATTAAATCAGGAAATTTCGAAAATAATACATCACATCACTAACAATTTCACGAGGATCACCTTTAATCTATCAGTATTCAAATGTAAAAATTTATCAGAGCTATCGTCATGGAATTTATTGAACGAATCCCAAGGATAATAATTTAAACACTATATCCGATAATAAATGTAAAACCCAATTACCCGATTAAATTCTCCAGTCTATCGCAATAATTCACCAATCCTTCGAACCACTTTCGAGATGATACTAAAACCTGACCCAAGCTCAGCAAATCTCGAAATAAGGTGCAACAACTTTCAAAATCGATTCGATTTTTAAACCTGGCCAAACCCTCGGAAATTCAGCTCCTCTTCCACCACTCGTCCTGACCGAGGCTCAAAACGAAATTCCTTCACGATCACCCTAAATCCGCCTATACAGAACGCGCGCGCGCTCTGAGCGCACGTGTGGCTTAGAAAATGGTGGAAACTTACGTCAAAACCTCTCCGATGGCCATGTTGAACTCTCTCGAGCACCGAACCGATCCACACCACCGAACCGTCTCACCATCTACTTTCTCAGCCAAGAGCCACACGATCACGATCCGTAATCACACGATCAACGATCCTGAACCAATCCGCGGATCGTCCAACGTATCTACCGTCGGTTGAAAGGGAAGAACTGTCCAGTAGGTAGACGATGCACACACGCAGTCGCGAGACCAAGGGCGCAGAAAATCGCGAACCGATAGCGAGATGGAAACAACGAGGGTGCCGATTCACGTGAGGCCCAAAGAGCGTATATAGATGACGAAGAGGACACGTTTCCTTGATCCTCCTCGCCGTGGAACTGGTCCCGCGTGTACACGGGCGGAAGATCGGCGGGTAGTGGTGTCGTGGGAACAGCGGCAACGGAAGAGAAAGAAGCACCAAACGTAGGTCCAACAAGTGAGAAGAGACAGAGAGAGGATAGAAGAGAGAAGTGCCGGTGTGGCGGTGTATTAACAAACCGCGTGAAAAGATCCCAAAAATAATTTCGGCGTGAAGAAATAAATCCGGGTGAGGCGGTCGCGAGGGTGCCTAAAAGAAGGTTCGCCACCGGGTGCCTTCTGGGAATGAAACCGGCATAGTATGCTCGAGTTATAAGAAGAGC